CCTGTGGCAGAAGCAGTGCGGGCTGTTAATGTGGAGAAAAGCAAACCCAAAAACACGGTCCTGCTGGTCTGCCTCCTCCCTACCATGTGATTGCACAAGTTGTTCCTCCTGCATATCAGAGAGGGCAGCCACCAACCAACCCATACTGTGATGGCTTTGTTTGTTTTTTTTTTAATTCAAGTCTTACACTTGCTATTAAGTTTACACTTTATACTTGATGGAATGTATGGCTTTGTTCAGGACACTGCACTACAATGTTGCAGTACTTTCAGCAGTTCTCTGCCTGGCACAATGTATTTTGATAAGTTCAATTTTAATTGGAAAAAACCCACCCACCTCTACCCTATCTTGCCCTCTGTCCTAAAGGAGTGGACTGTGGCTTGACTAGCACTTAAGCTTGGAATACCTGCACGTAAGGGCTTGATTTTTACTGTTCTTAATCTTACCTTTTAAGGCAGCATCAAATAAATGGAAAAAGCACAGTAATTGATATTGAAGGAGAGGCAGGAGCGGATTACACTTTCCAGTTAGTTCTCTTCTACTTCAGGTGTTCGCTGGCAGTGCATTCAAATGAACTGTGATAGTTTTGTTCAACAGTAACCTTCTGTACAGGCAGAAAAAACAACTCCAACATTTCTGCTTGAAAAGCTGTAAAATATAATCTGTTTGCGTGGGTCTGATCCTGTGAACTTCACTATATGTGTTTATATTGATGAGGAAATGAAAATCAGTCCTATTCTGTATTTGTACTACTGCTTGTTTGCTACACTAGCTTTAATGATTTCTAGAGATTAAGTATGTGTTGAAGCAGGCCCTGTAGCTTTACCTACAGCCTGGAATAGGATTATTGCCTTTTATTCAAGCCTCCTAAACAGTGTCACTCTGTTAGTAAACCATTTTTAAGTCATACTGGGACTTTGTAACCCATCAAGTGGATCTCACGAAGTGATGTGAAGTATAATTAAGTGATTGTGGCTCTTTTGGTAGGTTTGGGTCAGCACACAAAACATTGGCACACCTTCCGTATCAGCAATTTGCCATTACTGTTACACAGAGAAAAATAACCACCTCTGACTATTATGGGTATTACAGCAACACAACAGTTCTAATCGCATCCTCAGAAATGAAAAGCAAACTTCTCTTCAATTTACTTTCCCATGTTTACAGGCAAACTGCTATGGCAAACAGCGTGTTTCTAACACTAGCTTACAGAGCATTATTTTGCAGTCATCTAGTTTGAAGTCAAATCTTACTAATGTGTAAAGTAATTCCTGTTGTACAGAAGTTAATCTGTTGTTTAAAATGAATGGTTAAAAAAAGTGCAAATGACAAATACATGTTGGTGTTTGTATGGGTTTATCTAGAATAAAAGCATTTGGAGGTTAGTTTGATTCTGTACTTTAAAATGGTTACAAGAAAGCAAACACAGCTGGTAACAATGCAAGGTCACGCAAGGAATGGAGTGTAAGACAAGGAATGGCATCAGGTGAGAAAAAAGTGCTGCAGCTCCAGCCCTGCCAGGCTCCAGGACAGAGCTATGCAGGTCAGCACAGCACACTTTCATCACACTGAAACTGGGAAGAGAAACGGGAAGGTACAGTACAACATCTGGTGATGCTGGGGAGGGGAGACACTGGTCTAAACTCCAGCAGCTGCTGAGTAGTGACCTACCTCCTGCAGTCTGAATGGAGGGGGATTCCCTGGGCTGGAGGATTCCCAGCTGCCTTCTCACCTGTGGGAAGCAGCAACAGGCTGGGGACAGGCTGATGGTGCAGTGCCTGCCACACCTTCAACACAGCCTTCAGGATTTGCACTTCAACTGCATTGCTTAAAGACTCTGATGGTGATAATACTTTAAAAAAACCAAAAGTGTTACGAAGTATGATAACCCAATAACCCCTCTTTCAGGAGAACGTGCTTAAGGGACAGAAAATAAGTTTTCACACAAAAAGCCTGAGACCAACTGGGAAAGGTCACCAACAGACCTAGTACTGACCATCATTCTTACTCCTACTATTACCCTTTTTCTGCCCTGCAAGTCTTACCTTGTTTGTATAAACATCCCCTGCCCCCTGACAGCAGAGAGCACCTTGCTGACACGGCCGCACCTGGGGACAGAAACACAAAGCTGCCGACAGCTGCTCTTTGCAACCATTCCATGCTGGTAGATGCTGGTGGCCATCCCATTTGGCAAAGTTGGCTCAGGCACAGAGAGTTACTTTGTACAAGTTCATACCGTAGGAGGAAGCAGAAATAGCTTCTGTTACTTCTAATAGCTACACTGTTTTCCTCAGAGAAGTTTAACAAATTCCCCAAGAATGTGCAGCCCTGATTCAGGAATGGTATTCCCCAATTTAGTTCTCCCTCTGACACACTGGGAACCATGCTCTGCTGTCCCACTGCCTCACCTCCCCTCGGGTGGGGTGGAGAGCAGAACTGAAGGCAGAAAAAGTAAAGATCATGGGTTGAGATAAGAACCCCTTACTGAAAACAGCCATGAGATAAGAAAATGATCAGTATCAGCAACAATACTAATGACAGAGGGTAAAAGGGAAGCCGACTCACACATGGTTGCTCACTACATGGAGCCTGGCATGCTCCACCCAGAAGGATCTCCTTCCCCTGACCCAGGAAAATGAGGTGGTGTAGAATAACCCCATCTCCTAGTCATGGCCCGCCCCGCCTCCCCCCTAACTGCAAAAATTAACCCTGTCCTGGCTGGAGCCAAGACAAAGCCTTATACTTACACACTGTGGAAAATGAAAAATGCAGCCTCTGAGAGAAGAGTTGAGACAACACCAGTGTCACTCTTTTGCTATTCCTTCAGTCTAACAATACTAAATAACCTATCACAAGAGATTGCAGTGTGTTCACACTGTCCCACATTTTTGTTCCACTCTTTTGAAAACAACAACCCAAATACAAACAAAGAAAACCCAGATTAAAAGTTCCTGCAATTCCAGGAAAGTCATCATTATTGGATTATTGAGTAAAAAAATTTAGATAAATAATTTATCATTCACAAATTTTTTTAGTGGACTGATAATGAACTGAAAAAAATATATTTAACCTAGAAAAAATATTTTTGTTGTAGATAAATTAGAGTAGGAACAAATACAAGCTCACATTTACATAAGGTGAAGGCAATTTGTTATACTAATCTCTGCTATAATATATTGAAAAAACAATTATTGCCTATTCCCATTATAGAAATACAAGAGGCACATTGTCAAGGGTAGCAAATAGAAGTTTTCAGAGCTTTTCAAATTTCATTTTATCCTTTTTATCTGCATTAAAATACCAACCTAGATGTGGACTACAGCATTGTTAGTGATCAAAACTGCAACCCAGAGCAGCATACATTAACTTTTACATTGAAGGAGTAAGAAGATATTATCAAGTAAGTGGTAAAGGATTTATAAAACATAGTTTAATTTTTTTGTATTAAATGTCAGTTTTATTTTAAACAACTCAAACCTTGAAAAACAATTTTCAAAGTTTCTTGTGCCGAGATTATTTAGTGTTTTGACTTTATGGCAAAATACTGAAAAACAAACCTTATTGACAAGGAGCCTTAGCAATAGTTCACAGAATGGTTTGTGTTGGAAGGGACCAAAGATCATCTGGTCCCAATCCCCCCATGCCATGGGGAGGCACAACTTCCACTAGTACAGGTTGCTCAAAGCCCCATCCAACCTGGCCTTGAACACTTCCAGGAAAGGGGCATCCACAACTTCTCTGGACAACCTGTTCCAGTGCTTCACCACCCCCACAGTAAAGGATTTCTTTGTAATATTTAAGCCTGCCCTTCCTTCAGTTCAAAATGAATGCCCCTTGTCCTGACACTCTCTGGACATAGAAAAAGTCCCTCTCCATTTTATAGGCCCCTTTAGGTGCTGGAAGAATAATGTCTTCCTGAAGCTTCCCTTGCCCTGCTGGCCATGCTGCTTTTGCTACAACCCAGGCTGACTGGCCTTCTGGGCTGCAAATGCATACTGCCAGCTCATGACCAGCCCTTCATCCATGAGAACTCCCAACTCCTCTGCAGGGCTGCTCTCAAGTGACTTCTTTTCCCTCCTGTCATCAAAGCTGCTGAGGCTGCACTCCATCTCACTGTCATCACTGAAGGTACTGAAGAGCATCAGTCCCAAAAGTGAGCTCTAAGGGACCCCACTCATCACCATCCACTACCTGCACATAGAGCCCTCTCTGGCTGTGTCCATCCAGCCAATTCCTTATCCACTGAATGTCATCCATCAAATCTGGGTCTCTTCAATCTGGAGATCTGCATGTCATGTGGGACCATATCAAAGGACTTAACAGAAGTCTAAATGTGACATTTGTTGGTGTTGCCCCGTCAACCATTGCTGTCACTCCATCATAAAAGGCCATATTGCTCAGGCACAATTTGCCCATACTAGAGCCATGACGGCTGCCTTGGCTGCCCTCCTTCTCTTTTACTTGCCTCAGCACATTTTCTAGAAGGATGTGCTCCATGATCATCCCAGACCCAAAGGTGAGGCATACCCATCTGGAGTTTCATGGTTCATCCTTTCTCCCCTTTTTAAAAATGGGAACAGTGTTTCCCTTTCCCCAGTCACTGATTGCCATGGCTTCTAAACACAGCAACACCATCAGCCAGTTTCCTCAGGATCCTGAGATGCATATTATCAGGTCCCACACACTTATAGCTATTCAGCTTCATCAAATCATCCCAAATCTGCTCTTGGCTTATAGTGGAAGGGACTTCACTTCCCCCACACAGGCCCAGAGGAGCAGGCGCTTGAGAGAAGTCTAGTGGACCAGAAACAAACTGCAATTGACTCCTAATATTGAGTCTGTAACTGTTGCTATGCTAAGTATCACTCCACTGGTAACACATATTCAGGGTACAGCCCCCTCATGAAAAGCAACCCTGCATATTCTTTTTATGATTCCCAGTGAGAAAAGTTACTTTTGTCCTTAGACCCAGCAGTTAAACAAGTTGAGCCACAAAGGGGTAACTATGCAGAATATATTTTATGCTATTTAGGCACATACAACCATGTTTTTGGCAAAATATGAAAAGCATGTACAAAGGATAAGTTATTGAAAGCTAACAGCATCAAGAGTGTGCAGATTTTATTTAGAGTCCTCACTTTGTGCTTCATCTTCTCCAGTGATCTTTTTTCTTGCCAAGTCCTCATTCCCCACCATTACCCGCTCTCTAGATGGTCCAAGATCTTCCAGCTGTTTTCTTTGTCTGGTTTCTAGCTCTTCCAACCGCTTGCCAAGCAGGGCAAGCTCTCTTTGATGCTGCTCCTCCTTGAAATTAAAAAGAATAAAAATGTGGCTTTATTACATTTTGCACACTTACAAGAGACCAAAATGAGCAATGCATTCATTTTCTTTAAGGAAAATTAAAACTGTAAAGTCTAAAACATCCCTTTTTTGTTAAATTTTACTCATTAGTGTTTCGTGGGTATTGTTCTGACATTCTAGACGAACAGCATCAGGAAGAATTACATCTGCAGCTGTTCCTCCTCCCAGATGAAGGAGCACACAAACCTGAGGTCTCAGCAATCATCAATCTGTAAAGTCAACTTGGTCAACCTCAGCCAGAGAGATTTTCACCCTCAGCAGCTCAGCCTAAGACACTTTTAACCACACAAGAAATCAAGAACAGCAATACTGCTTTGTAATACTGAAACCATGGTGTGAGAACAATACTAGCATTTCTTGCTCAGAAGGAGCCATTTAAAGCCTCTGAGGGGAAGGACAAAGTATGGAGAACTGCCTTAAAACTACCCAGTTGTTACATTCTGTAACATACCCTTTGTCTTTCAAGTACACCCTCCTATTGCGACAAAGGGAACATCTCTAGATAACTCAATATTTCTTACTTCTGTTCAAAGCTGAAATACACCTTCCTTAAAACTAAGGTCAGTAAAAAGAACTGTTTCAGTACCCTCTTTTGCTGCATTATTTTCACAACTTGTAATATATCACCACCTGAAGAAAGGAGAAGGACGCTGCAGGCCCAGGAGGCAAGGCAGACGATGGTGCTATACTGACTGGATTGAGTGACGGAATGTCAGGATTCAGAATTATACTCCGGAATTCATTATGCCGACGCTGCAAGTCCTTTAGCCTCTTCTGGAGGCGAGCATATTCTTCAGAGGAAACATTCTGTCTAAGAAATTACAGATTTCTTATTGCTCAAGATCTTTGCTATCCCAACACAGCAGCAAAGCTCTCCACAAGCACTCTGCTGTTTAACACCCCCAGTTTCTACCTATTCTTACACAGAAGAATTGGAAAGTAGATCTGTATATATTCTTTTGCCTACATGCCTGTCTAAATGTCCCTCTACATATTTAGCTATCTGCTCTATTACAGATTAGAGTTTACATAAAATAAATTAAGCTTTTAATACCATTCACAGTAGTGAGTCAGAGAAGCCACAGTAAACTAATTATTCAAGTCAAGCCCTCCACAGGGGTTCAATGAAGAGAGAAAAACCAGGACTTCATCTTTGAAAGAGGATGCCATGTCTTTTTCTCTTGCAATTCTGAAGTCTTGTTCACTTCCTTATTTTAAAGGGATTCCTGCAACTGTGCCTATCAGGTATTTTTTTCTCTTTTTCTTCTTGAAGAGACAGCCCTGCAGTTGTCTCACAAGCTCTCAGCTGCCCATTCTAAACAGAATCTATTCAAAGAATTCTAGTGCTGTAAAGGCTATTAGACTGGACTCTGGGTACTAATCTAGGTAACACATATATTCAAAAATACTTCATATTTGTAAGTCATACCCTGAGCCTATGTAATTTTTCAAGGTAAGAAAAAGCAAATTTATTACCTATTTAACACTTGATTTTCTTTTTCTAGTTCTTCCATCTTGGCTTCCAAAAGTTCTATTTTCTCACGCATCCTCCTTTGTTTATTGTCATTGAGAGTCTTTCTCTGTGAATAAGATGTTTCAAACAGCTAAGTAATACCTTAATAGATTAAATCCTGTAAAAATTAAATCTGTCATCTATGTGGTTTCAAGCTGTGACTCTTTATAGGATTTTCTTTCCTTAAGAGATGTTGTGTTGTTTGAAGGTGCTGAGATTGCCATGCTGGGAAGCAGAAGAGATGGGAAATGATCCCTAGCTTTGAATGAAAGAGGCACAGCTGCCAATCACTCGTTAGTCAGTGACCAGCTGTACTAACAAACATTAATGGTATCTAAGAATCACAAGTCATCCTTTAAGTGACTGTATAAATGAATATAAGCATAACCAAAAAAGTATGCTTCCTTTGGTTTTTTGTTTGATTGTTTGTTTATTTGGGTTTTTTGGTTTTGTTTGCAGGTTTTTCCCCCTCATATTGATCTTAACTTTTCATGACCTTAAAAGATACTGGTACATTTCATAACCTATGTTCAATGTATAACAATGCTAATGAATCTTGAGGTTTTACAAGCAACCTGCCTTTCCTTACAAATAATTTCATAAAAAATAAGCTTAGGAGAAGAAATAAAATTTTAATATTCCATCAAGGAAAAGCAGAACATCATTTGTCTAGTATCTGAAACATCATCCTCCCTCATCAAGGGGTCCACCTGTTAAATAACCATCAATGTACATGTGTGTGCAAAGAAAGCCTCACAAAGTCATTGATGGCATACTTTGATAACAAAATTGTCAGCTGTAATATTCTTTTGCATGTCACTTCAACCTATTTCTATGCTAATCTTGAAGAACCCAACATATTTAGTTATTATATACAGTAAACTGCAAATGAACTCTTAACATTGAAACAATTCTAGCTGGCCAACAAAGTTAAACTTTACACAGGCTAGATCATTCAAAAAGGAAGAGACAGCATGCCTTTTTCTGAGCAACAGCAGCTCGACATAGCTTGTTCTTCATTTGCTTGTATTTCTCTTCATACTCTGTGAGGTGCTGAGTAAGCATATGCTTCTCCTGCAGCCATTCCATACGTTGGTATTCTGAAGTCCTTTGGAAACATCAGGTTAAAAGATTATGAGGTTATACAAACAAAGCAGCACATTCAGTTGCCTTAAGGCTCTTTAAATAGACACATCTTTTCACAACTCCTACTTTTATATACTTAAACGATCTGACGTAAATTTGATTGTGTTCACATTCCAATTGTGACTATGACATTTGAACCTATGCATTATCCTAGGATTTCTTCAACCATGAGGTGTTTTGAACAAACTGATACTGAACTCAAATTTTGAATTTTGAAAATTTGAAAACTGATTCCAAGAAGTTAATTGTTGGTGCCTTGTTGGATTGGCATGCTGATAAAATACCCAGAGAAAATTCCTCAGTTCAGGTCAGACTATCACACTGGAACACAAGAGCAGATACCTATTCAAAACATCATTTGTCAGAAGAGTTGACAACTACCTTCTTTGTTTGGGAAAGCAAGGTGCTGCTCTATGGAGTCTAAGTCTTTGTAACAGGCTTGCTTAGCACATGCTTCCAACCAGAACAAACACCAGCTCATCAGGAAGCTCCCACTAATAAGGTTTTAAGACAATAATCCAGCTGAACACACACCACCAATGGCACATGTTATCTGTTTAGGCTTTTGCACGGTTACAACACATTAAAATTAGGCTGTGTTCTCTAGCAGTGTATAGGAAAGGAGCCACTTTCTCTGTGCTGCCTTGTTCATTTGGGCTACCTGCATTGTGAGCAGAACTAATGGCATATTTAATTACATTACAGTTAAAAATTAAAATCAAATGGTGAGATTCTGTGTAGCAGATTTTAATAAAACCAAGGCTTAGTAGTAGTGCATCCACAGAACTCCAGTCCTGGGCAGATGCAGTTTCCCTACATGGACTCTGAATGCATCTCCCTAAATTTCTCCACCACCTCTTCTTTCCCCACAGTAGAAGTACTGGACGTCATCCACTCTCATTTGGGAAACAGAGTCCTGGCCCACGTGTCACCTGTCATGGCTCTTTTAGTTGATGCAGCATGGCTCATACCTCACTCTTGACTGTAAATAACTACTAGTACCCAGGAACCAAAGCACTTTGGACAAGCACTGCTTAGCAGTAAAAGGATTTCAGCTAAGGAAATGGTTAAAAATGCTTGAGTTGGGTGTGAGGGTTTCTTGAGGTTGTTCGGGTTTTTCAGTTGTTGTTGTTGTTTGGTTGGTCTAAATGCCATTAATATTGTTCCCAAAATGCTAAACAAGTACCTGATTGAGCCCATCTCTTATCTGTATAAGTCTCAGAGTTTGCCTTCAGCTCTTTTTCTCCTTTCCCATTTTCATTTAAAGCTTAAGATTGACACAGCCAGACATGCAGCTGCTTTGCCTACTTATACTCAATGACACTACTTTATTTATCTGGAACTTTTTATCTTATGTTTTCTCATCTTTTAGTCCCTACTTCACTTCCTCTTGCTTTGGTGCAACTTAGCTTTTTGGTATTCAAGCTCATAAGACTTTACTGAACAGAGGAAGGATGTCCTATCACACAGATTCATAAAAACAATGGAAAGATGATCCAAGGCTCCCAGGGCAGCAGTGGCACAGACCTGCAGGACTTACATGCAGGCTACAATGTTGCTTCATTTCTGCAGTATTAGCCTTAGTGCATCTCTCAGTATCTACATCCTTGTACAATGATCTCTGAGGACTGAGAAGTTCCTTCCACTGCCTTCTCAGGAAAACCTAGTCCTGACTGTTTTGTGATGCATAAATATGCAAATGACAGTGACAGCCTCATTCAAGTAACAGCAAGGATCTCATTCCACATGGGAGTACTCCTCCCTAAAGCAAACATCCCAAGTATTTAATGTGCTACTGACATACTCTGCAGTCTAAATGCAATAATATCTTCAATGTTAAATTGAAAAGCACTGCTTAAGCTAATGACAACATAGCAATTGCAGTACCAATTAGTAGCAAAACAGATCTTAAAACAAAATGAAGTACACTTTGGAAGTTTTATATTTAATCTGGGACACTGACTTTTAAAAACATCACACAATAAGTAGTACAAGTTAGACACATATTTGGTTACTAAACTAGGAAATTCTGAAAAGCCATTTCAGACTGACAAACTAATCTTTAAATTCCAGGAAAGTGTGCATTTCTATGTGGAATCTGAATAAAATTTGGCTTCCTTCATAATTTCTTTGCTTCCTTCACCATTTATTGTCATACTTTGATGGTATGCGGTCAAGCTTATGCAAAAAAAGGAAAGTGATTATTTTTAATTTTGATGAGAAGAACTAGAAGATATTCCATAACCTTTTACTTACCTCATGTCAGCTAAAAGTAGCTAGTGGGGAAGGGAAAGAAGCATTCACACATACTGACTGGGACCACGGAACCTTATCACACAATTACAATGCTTGAATGCTCTTTTCATCCATTTAAGCTTTCCACAGCTTAAACACTCTTAGAACTGTCTGAAACTCTAGATCCATTTATACCTATAGAAGTTTGACACTTACTTCAGTATAAGTAGAATTTCATTTTATGCAAGCAGTTTATCTCACTAATCAATAATTAATTTTAACAGACAGGAATGGAAACAAACTCCTCTTTTTAAAGCTGACACGAGGAGAGCTTTTATACATGCTATGCCACAGAATATATGGCCATTTTTACAACTGTCCAATATTTCCTGTTCATTTTAACTTTCTCACTTTATCCAGGATCTACAATCCACAGTTAAGTAATCCACATAAGCAGAACACAAGGAACATGTAAAGCAAAGCCAAAAGAAAAAAGTTACTTCTCTGTTTCCAGTTGAGCTTTCTCTGCCTGAGCCCTTGCATGTTGACATTCTTGTTTCAATCTCTCTATTATTTCCTTCAATTTCTGATTAGATTCCAGCAAATCATTTTCTGATTGAGAAAGTGAGGCAAGCTGGAGTTGGATATCATCTATTTGCTACCAAAACAAAAAATATTTTTTTCCATTTCAAAGGTATGCAAATAAGGAACGATTGATTTTGAGATACTGAGACAATGCAAAATGGAAACATCAACTAGCTTTAGCTTGTCATTAGCCTTTTTTACTTGTTTCTTTTCTCTTTACTCAACAGTTTCTGCAGAAGCTTGAGATACTCCAGACAGTAAATCACTATGAGACAAAAGGTTTCTCTTGTAGTTAAAATGAGAAAGGTAGGCAGACCTCTTCTGTCACTGGTGTCCCCAGAACTTCAGAAATCCAATGCTTCAGCACCAGGCCTGAACAGAACTGGAGGACCATGAAATACTTTGTAGCCAAGCTGTGGAGCTATCCAGGCTCTTCTGTCTCATAATATACAGCATGTTACAGCCTGTTATTTTCATTACAGTGACCGCCCCAGTCAGTTCACAGAACAAGGAAGCACTGAAAAGTCAAACCTCTGCAGCCAGCTTACAGAAATGATCATTTTCCTTTTCGTCCCCCCACATGGACACTTACATGCCTTAATTTCTGATTTCTGGAGGAAAAAAACATTTGTCTTGAACTTCAAATGCACACGGGTTGCAGAGTATTTTGATGCACAGCTATTTTTATTACCTACTAAATAACATCATAGGCAAGCAGGAGTTAAAAAAAAGTTTGATTTTCAACACTGCCATCAATTGACTCTGCAATCGAAATATACCTCTTTACACTAGTTTGTTCATTTATGAAACATCTGTTAAACACTTAAAGAAACTCAGATGAGAGATGCACTGTAAATGCAAAGCATTACCTAGAAACAATTTATAAGTCTCCATGGCAACTGAATCTCCAGTTAAATAGTGCATAACCATATTCAATATACCAGTCTATAAGCATTCAGCTTTGAAATTCCTGGTACCCACAAAACATATGAAGCAAAAAGCTGTAATCCATTTACAGAGGTCCAGGAAAGCTCGATTGATTTCTGAACACTTCTCCTTTAAATATCTGAAGTACACACTTTGTCCCTCAGGGAAAAAAAAAAAAAGCACCTTAAAAATTCAATCTAATCTTCAAACACAGAACATGGTAACTACAGGAAAGAACGTATTTCTCTACAAAACATTACAATGCAATAAACCTTACCTGTTTCAGATTAGCATTTTCACGTTTCTTTTCTTCCAGCTCTTCTGTCTGCATAGCTTGCTGTTGAATTTTTAATCTAAAATTGTGTAAGACATCCTTATTTTTTATCTAATCAAAATACAGATGCTATAAATAAGGACAAATCAGCCTGACAAAAATAGCATTATTTGAAGGGCTGATAAATATTTAACTAAAAAAGTATTAAAAATATATTTCTATTAATTTTTAAAATTCACATAGGAATAAGATTTTTAGAGTATGATTCATTTTATCATGCTGACCTTCATATAAAAACTACAGTAAGCCAAGTAAATTCCCAGCCATAATAACCCACTCAGAGACATCATATTAGGGTCACAGCTTGCCAATTGCTGCTACGGTGCCACTGTGAAAAGAGAAATGGTTTACTCTAACACTGGGGCTATGCCAGCATTAAACCAGTTCTAACAAATGTGTATTGCCAAATTATTACTTCACTGGTCATTGAAAATAACATTTAAAGGTTTGGACAAAAAGTGTTATCTTTTCAAACAATTAGTTTTTAATTCTGTGCTCTTTTTTACACAGTGCAAAAGATAATTTTGTTTAATCTACTATAACAAACATTTCATAATGAAGATTTCTGTATCTATGAATAGGAAGATTTTATACTGTCTACTGTGAAGACATTAAGGGGGGAAAAATGAGAAATTTGTGCTAAGATTAGAAAAGCCACACTACCGCAAACGCTGAAGCTCCTTTTTGCTAGATTCTTCTGCCATCTGCACAGCACGTAGTTTCTCTTCATACTGATCCTTTTCAGATTGTCTCCAAGAATCTTGTTCCAATTTCATCTTCTCTAGATCAGCTAGTCTGTTCTCGAGTTCTAACCTAAGAAATTATTCAATCATGCACACAAGAATCATTACAAAATGCCAGAAGTGTTTAGTTAAGACTGACATTTTAAAAAGTAACACAAAACAGTCCTCTTTTAGAAGCTGAGGAGGAAATCAATAGACATACTTTTCATTTTGTAAGGCTGCAATATTGTCAAAAACTTCCTCTTTGGCAGCTTGCACTTTACGAATTAGCTCCCGATCTTTTTCTACTAAAAGCACTTTATGACGTTCAACAGCTGCAGTAAGAATTTCCTTGTCGGACAGCAATCCTGCATTATACATTTAAAAAAGTTAAATATGTCATTATTGATAAGAACCTGCTAAAATACCATATTTAAATAACTTTATAAATTCAAAAAAGGGAACTAAAAATCTCAATTCAAATGACAGAATGAATGGGGGAAGGGGAAAAAAACAAAACACAAGAAAATCAGAAGAGGCCTTTCTTACTGTAACAGTTGTATTTCTAAGACTTTTGAAAAGTAACCATTATACTGGAATCACGGTCCATGAGAGTTTCTTACTTTCAACAAAAGTAATTAAACGGTTTATATTACTGCAGATTTAAACTCTAGAGCAATTTATAAAAAAATTGTGTCTGGATTTAAAAATTTTTAAAAGTGTTCCACAATAGCTATGCAAAGGTTAAGCAAGAAAATTTTCATTTTCTGGAAAAGTTTACAGTAAGCAATAACTTGTTATCTGTGAAATCAGTAACTGGGCTACAAGAAATCTGATTTTAATCCACCTATATTACCAAGTGAGACATTTCTAAAACTATGACTCTATAGGCAGGGACAAATGACACAAAGGCTTGTAACTGACACCTGTGTTCACTGGTAAATAAGCCAACATTCTCTAACAGTGATTCCTCATTATTTAGCTAATTCAGAGTTGCAAATGAAATTCCACATTATGTTCAGGTTAACTTAAATCTCGTCTGTATTGAGTTTTGTATTTCATAGGGCTCAACATTTTTAGCTTGCAATACACTGTAAGTATATTGTCAATACAGAAAACACCACTTTTTAATTGCTCTTGGCAAATTAAAGTAAGTGAACAGAAACATTTCAGGAAGACCGAGGTACTATTTTGGGGCTAAGGCAAATCACTGAGGACAGTTCTCTTTAAAGCTGTGTAATGATTTAAACAACTAGTACTAGAAAGTTTTGGCCTTTTCACTCTAGAAAGCTATTTCAAGTTGCCTACATATTCAGCTGCATCAGGTAGCTTAGGAAATGCCTATTTCCTTCAAAGAATGAACTAGGTACTGTATTTTGTTTCATGTGGCAGCCTTATGGAATTGATTCCAATTCCACAGACACAGATTCAAAAAAAAAAATCCCAACCACTGAAGCTCTGTGGCATGATAGGGTTTCAAGCAGAGTATGAAAGACTCGAGAATTTAGAAAAAATAACCATATGAAGTATATAATTTGAAACAGATTATGCTCAAGTTGTGTCACAAATGCACTAATTTACATAAATGAAAAATTGCTCTCAATTGTTCTTTGCCTAGCAGAGCAAGTGAAACAACTCAATTATTTCAAATACCAAGTGAATTGCCAGATCTATGACCTAGACCAGAAATAGAAGGTGAAGGCTGCTGGAGAGTGTTCAGAGAAAAAAAGAATTGTATTATTCTAAGTATAAGTAAACAGATGAAATTACAAAATAATTTCATACTTTACCATCCATTTCACTTTGAATCTTGTTTCTCTCTCTTTCTACTTCACTCTTTGCTCTTGCTGCCTCCAGTCTGACATTTGTTACTTCCAACTTATGTGAATGTTTAAGTTCCTTTACCTATGAATTAGTAAAAACCAACATCAAATTAAGTATAATAAATTTCTATTTATTTACTTCACTTCTGACTAAAGATACCGCAGAGTCAAGTTAAAATAAAATTTAATTTTAATCTCCATAAATAAATCAAAACAGCAATATACAAAGCCAGAATACCAACTACTTCCCCAAGTAATTTCAATTTGGTAACTACTTATAGTCCCCCTGGCCTCCTGGAGTGCTACATTACCTTCTCAAAACCCAGGTTCTTCATAGTTTTAAAGTGCATTTTAAATCAAATACTGCTCTACGGACACGTCAAATGGCCTCATAAAAGTAGGAGCTTTAAGAACATCAAATCAAAGAAAATTACTGCTTGCATGGAAACTTTCTATAGTTTAGGCATTTGAACGCAGTAATTACACGGTCAATGCGAATTAAGTATCTGGAGGAAAGCACTTATAATGAAAATCCATTCACAATGACAAATGTAATTACAACCTGCTAGCATATACAAGTGGCAAAAGGTTAAGAATGACACAGTAGCTTATTATGTAACTACACAGAAGATTTAGTTGCTTATGTATGACGTTGATAACATTTCAGGGCAACTTGAAAAGATTTAAGGTGGCTTTTTTAAGGCAAAAAATCCAGAAGACAAACACATGCACCTAAGACAAACCATGTTCAGGAACAGGTTTGAGTGGGAACAGAAGAAGGGGCAGGTTAATATAGTAAAGCTTCTATTTTCCCCCCTTTGAGAAACACCACTGGAACATTTTATTTTGTGCTGCTTCTTGAGGGGAGCAAAGAAGACCAGCTGACAGAAAAAATAAAGACCATAACAATCTTCTATATATTCTGTGAGACAACTGAAAAATGTTTAACAGAAGTTTTCCCCTCCTATATAGCATGGGGGCCAAGTATGTCATATTACATAAAGAGGCTTTAAATAGTCATATAGCTATGTCTTATTCCTATGGTAAGTTAGAACTTTTTTTTTTAATGAATGACCAAAATTAAATACTTAGCTCATAAATATGCACTGTAAAAAGATCTCAAAAGAAAAGAAAAGCATACAAACTTGGAACAAAACCTCTAAGAACTGATGCCAACAAAGTTACTCAAATATATTTTAGGACAATGGTCAACTTAAAATGCTGTGATGTAATTCTGTACTGAAATGTTTCTGCACAAGCTATGCCGACATTAGCCCAAGAAAAAGGCTATGCTAATGTCACTACCCAGCTTCTAATATAACCTCAACCTCCACAAGTAACTCCAATGCAGCTTGCTTCTTGTAGCTAACACAGCCCATTTAGAGGATACTTTTTAAGATCTGCAGAAGCCATAGGTCCATTACAAAAAAAAAAAAAAAAGGCAGAAAGATAAGTTTAAAGCTCTAAAGGCTAGCTATATTCATAAACATCAAAAACATGAATATAAAGATACCACTTCAAATCTCATTCTGTTCAGGAAAAAGATCTAGAAGATAGAATAATAAGAACATAACCTCAATCTATAGAGAAACTTTTAGTTATGACATTTCTCCTGTAAAGTCACATATTCTTTGTCTTTCAACTGAAACTGAAGGAAAAGCTCCATACCTATTTTAAGTCACAGCAGAAGACATTATTACTTTATTCTTAGTGTAAAATATAAGCAGAAAACTATAATAGGATCTGAAAAATATATTTCAGATACCATAAAAGTACTTACTTGAGCAGCTAAGGAATTGACTTCTCGTTCAGATTTGTGAAGTTTGCTAGTTAAGAGAATGTTTTGCTCATGACTTGTCTGCAGTTCCTTCTCAATCCGACCAACCTGTAGTTCGGCAGACTTCTTTTCTGCCTTGAATGAAGGAAGTTTTTTTAAGATATTTGGAGCTGAGTTGCCTCTTGTTACTCATCTGAAATGTCTGATTGGTCTGGGCTTTCAGGTATTACTAACATGTTAAAATATATAATATGATATATAAATATTCATCTTTGCTCAACCATATATTCCGATACAACAAGGGTCTTGAATTTTACTCAAAAGTTACAACTATTTTTACTAATACTTCCTGCATAAAATCACTCCCATTTTCAAACCTCCTTGATAAGGGATGATGGTAATCTGACTTGGTTAGGAGGCAGCAGGTATGCTTACCAGTAAATTATTGGGCTGTAAACAGTGCAACTACAAATAGTGCTCAAAAAGGTGTAATAATCTGGCCTATGCAGTTACATTGACAGAAGAATTAACATCCTGGAGAGGAAATAAAATGCAATCACTCTATTATAGACCCTGATCTTTACTGAATATCAAAAAGGTAATCTAATATACGATGTCACCTTCCTTTTTCTGAACACTTTCATTTTCGGCGGGACTCTCTTTAAAGCTGTCTAAGAAGATTACAGCACTTCTTAAGTTGAGATCAGAGCATTTTGTAACTAAGGTATACAGCACTGATAATAGCAAAAAAGAAAATCTGCATGCTGCAACTGTGCAAAGAGTGTAGATGAAAAGGCTTGCTACCTAGAGAGGTAGCAAGAACTGACAGAAGATCTGAGAATGAGATGAGGAATACAATGGAATCCTGGGAAAAGTGCAACAAGCCATAAATACCAAGGAATACCAAGGAGAGCAACAGGGAGAGCAACAGCCAAGTACTAAACAACTGCAGTAACATGTTGGAGAAAGAAGAGGCATAGCTAAGCACAAAATATGACAGATGAGTAAAGGATTAAAGAGAGGAGCATCATGTGACATTTTTGAAAAGAATAAAGAATTTACTGCAGCAGATTATTAACATACTGGTTTCTAGCTCCAGTAAGTGGCAAGTGCTGTCCTTCTTACTGACTACAAATACAGAAATGACTTGCTTATTTGGGAAGGAGATCATTCAGCAGAATCTCTCAGTTGAGAGACTTGCCAAAGCTGAACTGGCAGTGCATGACTCCTGGTCAACTACAATTTGATTTTAAATCTGAAATGTACAAATTCAAATTGTGGAGTCAATGTCAAGATTATCAGTGATTTCACTGACAGTTCTGTCAGGCCAAGTGTTATTCTTACTACACTCTATAAGGAGGCAAAATAATAAAACCAAGTCTTACCTCTAGAGATCTCATCATGGTCTGCATCTCAGCTAATTGTCGTGCTTGTACTCTTTGAACATTTTCTGCTTGCACAACACTGTTGTGTCTTTCTGCTCTTAGTTCTTCTACTTCTGCTTCTAAAGCTTTTAATTTCTGACACAGTTGTGCCTTTTCTCTAGAAAGTGCTTCCACACGTTTACTATCCCTTGTAGGATCAATGCTAAGCAGCTGATTATGGAGTTCTTCCTTATCTTTATCCAGTCTTGCAATCTGATGATAGTTGTTAATCAGAAAAATAAAAAGTTCTTACATTGGTTAGGTGTCAGCAACAATTACAGCAGTTAACAATTCAGAAAATAGCAGCAGTGGACATTTAAACATTCATTTGCTTAGAGAAGGAAATTCAAAACAATACCACCTGAATGCCTGTAATTAGTGTGGTCTTTTTGAGAGCACTACAGAGTGCAATACTGATTGATGTCTTCATTAGCAAGCTTGTCCTCATTTCAGGAAGCCTGAGTGGGACACCAAATTGGGGGGAAATGGTCAATCTGTTGGAAGGCAGAACTGCTATCCAGAAGAGTCTGGGTAAGCTGAAGGAATGGACATTACTGGGTCCTCTTCAACAAGAAGCACAAGTCATGTATCTGAGATGGAGTAATCCAATGCAACAGTACAGGCCTGTAGCAACTGTCTAGGAAGCATCTCCACGGAGAGGATCTGGGGTCCTAGGTTCTAGTGGACAACAAGCTAAACATTAGTCAGCAGAGCACCCAATTCAATCCTGGTAGATTGGCAGAAGGCTAACTAGCAGATCCAGGGAAGTGATCCTTTGTCCCCCCTCTACTACTGGTAAAGCTGTATCTGGAGTTTGTGTCAAGTCCAGATGACTACCAAGGTATTCACAGGGTTGGGGAACATGACAAATAAGGACAAGGTGAGAAAGCTAAGGCTCAGCTTGGAGAGGAGAAGATGCACAGTGATGAGAAGAGAGGCAACAGGCACAGTTTGGAACACATGAATTTCCAATTAGGTGTTATGAGAAGTATTTACCATGAAGATGGTTAAATACTGAAAGAGTCTTCTTGCCAGAGAAATTATGTAATCCCCATCCTTGAAAATGTTCAAGACCTGGCTGGACATGGACCTGAGCAAACTGGTCTCATTACACTTCAATATTTTAAGCAGGATCTTGGACTAGAAAGAGTCTCTTCCAACTTACCTTAGGATTACACTATTTTGTAATTATAAATTATATAATAAATACAACAGAACTCAAATCTGCTAATAACTCCAGACAGCCAACATGACTGTGCCCCAACACACAATAAACCAAAAAAAACCCCAAAACAAAATACCAAAACCAAACAAAAACAACTACAACAACAAAAGAAACTGAAACCAAAATCCAAAACCAAAACCCAGTAACAACAACAAAAGTACCCTCCAACTCTCTCTCACAAGGTAGTACAAAAGGTACATACAAATCTGGAGACTGTAGATTGTTATAGTTCAAAATAAGTGACACAGACTGAATAGATCCATACATAGAAAAATACATAGATCGTTATCTTTCAAAGTAAGTGACATGAACTGAATATAATAGTGGGTGCAAAAGAGTGAGAAAAGTATGTAAGAATTCTCTCCGTATTTGGAGTCTAGTCCAAACTTTGATCTGCTGCAGTCCTTTTAAAAGTTTCACCAGCATTCTCTACGAACAAACCTGATTTCTTCAGCAAATGCCTTTTATGAGGAAATTCAATTGCATGATATGCCCAAGCCATCATTTAAGAATTAGGATGTTTTTATAGCCTCCTTGTGCAAAATGACATGGAATGTTAAAAAGCCTTTGAGAGAAACCAGATCACACTGTGCCCTGGGCTCAAGGTAGTTTCATTCTGTGTACGTGTGCTAATTAGCTGCAGGACTAGCACAAACTCAACAAGCCCATGAGAGAGGCAGGCTGTAAAGCAGCATGTGGGTTTAGCTCCAGGAAGGACAACTGTTCTGTTTTTAATGCACTGCATTTGCAAACTTGGATTGATTTTGAAAGTGATGATTTCTTTGATTTGTGTCTGATGTTTGGAGTAATACATTCAAATCTGGCATCTTAGAATACATGCTTCCAGACAAATACTTAAATGGATATGCAAATGACATCTGCAACTCATTTACAATGCTGTATATATTTAAAACATAAATAAGCTGGCAATTTATTTAGCTACATACACTTTTGAAAGTCCAAAGAAATGAATGAATGGTTTTTTCAAGAGCTAATGCAATTGAAATAATTTTACCCAAGTTTCCAGTATCCTTTTGATTATCGCCATCTTGACCCAAACTCAGATCATGACAGGTACATGGCAAAACATACTTTTATCTGCCATTAACAATATCTTCCTCAATAAGTTGCCACCTAAGTAATTTAAAGTCTAAACTTACATTAGTTACTCAGATAATTTATTAATTTCAAATTAGCATCATGTCACCAATTCCATCACAAATGTGATTAAAAATAGCATTAAGCAAATATACTGGCAGTCATTTACCAGAAAGCAAGCTATTCTTACTTTTAATAGCACAAATAGTATTGCAAGCCATCACTGAACAAATCTGCAGAGGCAGCCTTAGGCTAAGTCACAGAAGTGCTTTGAGAATTAAGAGAATAGATACAAACATGAAATGGAGCCAAACTGACAACCCTTCAAGTACCAACAGTTCCACAATGTTCAAGCAGCTTTATCAGAGATACTTTCTAAGCTACTGTAATAGTCTACGTACCTCAGCCTCATATTTTATTTTCTTCTCTTCTAAAATATGTGCATATTCTTCCTTTTGATGCTCAAATTCTGATTTCAGGAATGTATGGTCATAACGAAGTTTGTTATATAGTGTTCTGTATTTTTCTACTTCCTAAGTTAGACAAAAAAAAGAACCAAACAAAACAATCCAAATTAAAAGTTTTCAAATTTATTTCCTTTAAATGTCCATGCAATGTTCCAATTGTTTCACAAATGATCTTTGACTAATTGAGTGCCACCCTCTTCCAGGATTTCAACCTTCCCTGCCTGGGACAACAGCACCAGACAAATAATATCATACTTTGATCCCCTTTCAGTTTTAATTTCCTAAGGTTTTAGGAGCAACTATAAAGCAGTAATCACTGCTCTAAATGAAATAAAATTTCAATATTTATGACTTACATTTTCGAGCTTCTGATAACGCTCTCTCATAGGAGACTCCAATTCCTCATAAATTTTTGATTTTAACAGTTCTAATTTTTGAGGAGTTAGCACCTTCAATGAGAAAAATATCACAAATAATTAGTCATGTTCAGTTATTACACTGTGATAGGTAACACAACCAGGAATAAAGTATTTCAAATACAATTTTAGAATTCTACTTAATTTTCTATGTTTTTCTAAAGAAATTTCAGTAGCAATTACAGAAGCAAAAAAAATGCATTAATGAACTAAAAATATTCTGGGAAGATAACAAAAGCATTTTGAATGTCAGCATTTATCAGTAGAAGCAACAAAAATTTCAGGCTAAATTGCCAAGAGATTTATCTCCTTTGTGGGGGATGGGGAAAAGGAAAGCAGTCTCACATAAAAGATAAAGAATCAGTGTCTAATTTAAACAGTAAGTGAACCAACCCAAAAAGATCAAAATGAGCAACACCAAAGAACTATTTGCAAAACAGATGTGTGCTCTCCAATGGATACATGGGTACTGGTTTAAATGAAAGAAAGAATAATCAAGAAAGATTCCTTGCCTTAAGCTCCATTCTGCATGGTATTTTGTTAAAATTTCTTGATATGGTTCACACAGCAAACTATCTACCAAGAAACAGAGTTTAAAACTAAAAATTTTATCCACAACTGTGATATATTCTTATTTATTCTACCTTTCTTTCACTTATCTGTATCCTGAAGTCCCTGGAAACTAGTTCTAGTTATGGTACTGAGGCACATCTCCTCCATTCAGAGTCTGGGAACCTTTGGTTAGAGTTTTTATTTATTTCCTAAGAACACGTCCTGCATTACTTTAAGGAAACAAGTTGTTACATACAGTGACACCCAAGTTATCTTAAATGTTGAGGAGTCTTTTTGTTTGATTCTGGTTTGGGATTTTTTAAGAAAAAGAAAGAAGAAAGCTGTAATCATGAAGAGAAACAAATATCTATTTTTCTAGTCACTTATCCTAACAGGGTTAGGCACCTAAGCTACCCTTCAATGCAGATGATTGCCCCCTTAACAGCAGAGCAAGCACAGATGGGGACTGAGAGTTTTACACAGCAACTAACAACAGGATCTGGATGATTCAGTTAAACAAGGAAACAGTAATTTCAACCCATAGTCATTCTACAGAAGAGCCATTACTTGGATTGGGTGAATTTCAAGACATGTGAAATATATCCAAACTGGGTATATGCATGCTACATTAACAGAAAAAAATATGTATGGCCCTACTACAGGATAGAAAGACATACTAAGTTCTTCCAGTAAATTATCTCACCTGCAGCTTCACTTGTTCCAGCTCTTGTGTTTTAGCCAGCAACTGCTCCTGAAAGTCAGCAAGAAGCTGCTGAAATTTGTCATGTACAGTCTGTTTTTCAACTAACGACCGTTTCAGTTCATCTTGTGATTTGGTATAATCCTCTTGTAATCTGAAAGATAAAATACATATTTACTTTATATTCACCTTTTAAAGTATGACCTTAAAAGCTCAAAAGATTCACATACAGAAGCAAACATACTAACACCAAATAAGAACTAAGCTATTACTATACTTTTCCTGTAATATATTAAAAAGTTACCCCATACTTACAAGCATAAAAATACTGTGGAGACATCATTTGCAATGTCTTAAAGTACTTTGAATTGTTTGTTTTCTAACATGAGCAACACTCAAATCTGTCCTTACACACAGAAATAACTAACACACATCTCACACATGCAAATAAATCCCTTCCAACATTTAGCTGCACCTTTTAACAACTTAAAGAAACTTGTTTAAATTGATGTACCTCAGATGTTCTGCCCTTAGAGTTTGATAATTTGCTTTATGGTGTTCACTTCGCATTTTTTCATCCATCAAAAGTTTCAGTATTTCTTGTGAATTAGCTGCATCGCCACTTTCACCCACAGGAGGAAGAAGGCTGCCCAAACCATCCATTTTATTATGACTGTTCACGATGAGTATGGAGAAGACAAGATTGATGTATAACTAATCTACAAGACCAGCCACTCCTTCCACTGACACCTCAGAAGATCAAGACACCTGAACAAATACAAGGACATGTAATTAGCATTCAAGTACATTCACAGTTCAAAGGTTTCACATACTGCTTTTGCTTTAAGTACAGAAGAATCCAAATTTTGCTGTAACACGGGTTATAAACCTTTACTGAAAGTGTAACTCTTCTCTGTTAATGCAGCCTGCCCTGAGAAGTAATAGCCCTTCCAGGAGCAGAGTACACTTAAACATGAAGGTCACTTGAGTCAATACAAAATAACAACAAGCACTATTTTCTGAAAGATTACATTATTTTTACTTATGCTATACACTGAGACTTCAACTATGATATCCTAATTATGCCTTTTTAATCAGAGTTCAAGCAGAGGTCACAGCAGACACACAGCTTTTCTTACTACTTATTAAAGTCAAAGTCTGTTACACTATCCTAACAGGCTGTATTAATCAATATACACAAGTATTTCAGCTGGAAGAAAAGCAGATAATTCTCCATTGAATTCCTATCAAGCCCTCTCTGGAAAAGAGTTAAGGTATCAGAGACAGCCTGGAAGACAGCTGCCCACAGTTCAGTCCTGAAATACATCATTTCCTTATTTTCAAAGCTTATCTCATGGTTTATTGTGACCTTTCCAGAAAGACTTTTGCAAAATGTGATAATATCAGATTGGTGTGAGGAAAGCTGTAAATCAAGAGTTCCTGATATATAAGGAAGTATTCCAATATGCCTCCTTAGTGATTTTTGATATCTGAAGCAATAAGTATTAATCTGATCACTACTGACACTTCTACAGGATCTGGGGGAGGGAGGACTGTAGCTGACTTTTAGGGAAGTTACAAAGCTTTGAAAACAACTACTCTGCCATTTTAACTTTTTGCATAGCTGAACTGATGCCTAAGAAGTCCATGTCTGCAGTGTGCAAAGTGCACCTTTGTGCAAAGTGCACCTTTGTGCAAAGTAAAACTCAAACAGAAACAATGACAAATCTCTACCATCACTACAAATACCTCACCTTCTTGCCATGCACAGTTGCATGTATACTTTCTACCACTGCACTCTTTAATGGTTGTATCTTAAACACTTATAATTTGATTTTATAAACCCCTGAACTATAAGCAAGATGAAAACCTGTCTTCCATATAGGAAAAAAACACCCATTCCACTATGACATTATCATGTCAAGAAAATGTAAATGTAAGACTTTGTTCCCATTTTTTCTTCCTCCATTGCTAAAATGAGAAAAGGTCAGAGAAAAATCTACCACTTACAACATTACTGTAGGAAAAGCAACAGCAACTTTGTATTCTGCTTTACCCAAATTTGCTGAGAGAATCAGAATAAAGAACATTTTCCTCTGTGACTATCCTAAACGCACAACCAATATCAAAAATTAATGACATAAGTTCTCAAGACCCTTCTAATCAATACAATCTCTTTTTTGTCCCTGAGTTTTGTTGGCTGTTGAGAAACAAAGGGCAACAGCGATTTTTAAACTCAATATAAAGACATTTTTAATTGGTAAAACAACAGCTGGATGAGGAGGAGAGGTCAGTGATGCTAAAGACAATAAATCACGTGAGAGGAGAGAAAGCTCTGGTACACAGGGAAAACTAAAGGCAGTATGTCCCTAAGAATTTCTAAGCATATCAACAGGGTTAACATGATCACTATTAAAAAAAAAACCAAAAACACCCACAAACAAAAAGAACAAACCAAAACAACAACAAAAAAACCACAACAACCAGGCAATAGTATTTTGCTTTCATGTGCTACAGATACTAAATGAAACTATCAAACTGTAAACCAAAGCTCAGAATTAGGAACACAGCATTTGAAGTCAGGTCTGAATTCTGCTGCTTACTTGACTAAGAAGTATTTCTGAAGTGGCATAATGGAGACGAAGTCAAAGACACCAAGAAAACACTGAGAGCATGTCAGCCAAAAGATAAGCTGAAACACAGCCTGTTGTACTCTCTATTCCAAGCTGCTGCAGGTGAGAAAAATACTCTCTTCTCACAGCTTTTGCTACTATCAAAAAGTGCACAAATTACAAAGCAAGACACACACCTGGTCATGTATTAATATGCATGAAGATTTCATGAAAAAGATAAAAGGAGGAAGAGAGGGAGATAATTGCAGCTGACAAAACAATGCCCCAGACTGCAAAAAGCGAAGTTGCATTTCAGGAAACAAAACTCTTTTGGCTTGCAGGGACATCTAGCGGCAAATGTCATGATTTGCATTCCTCGCGACAACTGTGAAACAGACAACAGAGATTTCATTACTTCGTGAGAGCTCTTTCCTCAAAAACACAAAGAGCTATTTGTAATATTTAACCTATTCACATGCAAAAAAGTCTTTTGTTGTTTTGGGGTTCTTTTCCCCACATCATAAAATAATTTACGGCAGTAAACTGTCAATAGTCAACAACATTTAGGGATACAAATACTTAAAGTATATTACCAACCAGGATCTCTTCTGTGCTAATGGCTATCAGTAGTTGCTCACAGTCAGTGAGCAGGCCTTAAATAATCTTCAAAATTACACAAAGACTACACCCATAATTTTTGAGAAATACTTTAAAAGAACACTAGGTTCTTCCTCTCTTGGAGACGTGCTCAAGAAGTGCAGAAGCATAAAACATACTTTAAAGAAACTAAATCCACCATCATATCTAAACTTAATTCAACATCTACTTATTTGCCAAATTTTATCAAGCTGCCAAACTGCAAACTTCTATCAGTCGCCCCAAATTCATACTATGAAACCTTAACATAATTTTCCACAGGTATAAATATAAAGGCATTGGTGCAGAGTCCTGAAACCTTGGAAATGCATACTCTATAGATAAAATGGCAATACTTACTGTAGAATAGCTAAGTGGAGTAAATCAATTACATTTCCAAGAATCACCTTTGTTTTGCCTTTCTTCTCCAATTATTTCTCCTCCTAAAGAAAGGAACACTGCTGAATGACCCACTATCCATCTCTCCTCTTTATAGCTGCCCATCATGAAAGGGCTTTTCTTTTGAAAGATTTTTTCAGTGATATTATTTTAGCTTCTTCTTTGCTACAAGCTCTTAAAAGTGAGAATACTTGCATTTGGAGAAAAATATGATATATCAATATGATTTTTTTTCTTTATATGGATTTTTATGGCATTTTGTTTACAACAGCAAGGCTTCCTTCTTGTTCACCTGGCATAACCAAATGACATGACTGCACCATGTACTGGTAATTCCCTTGAGTGCCATACATAACTCACACATGGCTCTCTTTTCCATACCACAGCCATACTTAAAACACTTAAATTTATCATGTCTGAGCACGGTTTTAAACAGCTAGATGATACAATGAATGTAATTTTGCAACTAACTATGAAACAACTGGCAGTATTTAGCCTTGTCCCAGGTTTTGCTCATGCAGTAAAAAATTCTTGGTAAAATCTTTGGAAATCAAAGAGCTGCTTCACACAATTCATGGTCTAATTCCTCTGCTTGCTTCTGCCACAGCTCCAGACCTCTTTATTTGCTCTTTTTTTTCTAATTGAATTAACCAAGATCTTCTGAAACAATGAACTGTTTGCCTGAAAGAGTGAAAAACTCAAGGAAAGCACAGTCTCGTGAAAACAACTCTTCAAACACCACCCCCTTCTCCTCCCTGCTCAAGAGTCCACAGTAAGACCAGATAATGAACTAATGCAAAAGTGTAATCCAACACAAAAACTCACTGTCACCAGGAACGGGAGGGCTCCATTCCTCATTTCTTTATTCCCATTCCTGTGTTTGTCATTCATCAGACCCCTTCATGCACTGTTTTAACTCAAGAAGCCAACACATTCAAACAAGCAGAAGACACTCAATAGTTTTTCTGTGAGGTCAGTGAGTCACACGAGCTCATGGAAAAATCCAGCAAGAGACATCATCAGTGCAAGTGGGCAGCTGGTACAGGCTAGGGGAAAGGAACAAAGAGCCAAGTAAACAGACAGGAGGAGGAGCAAGCCTTTCTCCTTTCAGGAGCAGAGAGCTGGCACAGCACAGAGCTCAGATGTTCACAAAATCACAGCTTTAGACTAGATACCCAGATTTTAGACAGTCACAATTCAGTGAAACAAATCCTATCTTAAACAACTATGCAACATACTCATAAGAGATCAGACTTCTCATGAACATCAAGTGTGTAACAAAAGAACGCCAAACCCCCTTCTATATTATTTGAGAAATGTGTCAGCACACTGCATTTTTAACAGTCCATGTTCTACTGATCTGTCATCAGCAACTTGTAACAGTCAAAGCAATCACCTTAAAAAAAAAAAAATCTAGGGAAGCAAAACCAAAGATAAACAGGGAAACCTTTGTTACAGAGAGTTCCATAACCTAGACGCTGCTCAGATGTTACTGGAGAGAACCAGTGAAAATAAACGCTTAACACTTTTGTGCACCTAAGTGCAGAAATACTGGAGAATATCTGTACAACAGCTGCATTTCAGAAGACATCAATCTCATGCAAGCTATTATCACTCCCTCCATGACACTGTTCAAGGTAGAAGTTTCAGAAACAATGAACTATTCCAGTGTCCATCCCTACACACGGCACCTGGTATCACCCTTTCAGTTTCTGCTTATACTACAGTTCCAGTTACTTATTAGGTGAAAAACAACAAGGTTCTCTCTCAACTCAGGGATAAAATCTGTGCTTTAGCCACATACACTACCAAGTCAAACTGACTGATCAAATCGAATTTTGAATGGCAGCTACAGCTGATAAATTGAGCTGTACTCAAGAGCAGACAGTATGTTTTCCATTTTTTTCATGTCAAGAAACGTTCAAACGCACACAAGTTTTCGCTCACTAAAATCTCATTCAAAGTTCTGCTCGGGCATACAAATGGCTGCGTTTTGCAAATACAGCTATAGCCCACAAACAAAACTCTTCTGAAAAATCACTTCCCCTTCATGTTGACTCGAAAATCGCTATGTTCAGGGAGGGCATAGGTTTCACATTAGCATACATATCTCACACCCCCTGTATGCAGAAATATATATAGTGTATATATGATTTTATATACACTACAGTACGTGGATGAAGATCGAATGAGAGGCCAAGTGAGCCACTTAAGTCACTGTGAACTTTTTACCGTAAAGTTTTTTGACTTATGGATGTAGGAGCTCGGTCAGAGGAAAAACACTAACACAGCTGACACATATCCAGAAGCATAGAAAAAATAATAATTTTCCTCACATCGAACGCGGCTGAGGATCGCTGGTGGAAAGCAAAGCAGACAAACGTAAACACTCGAAAGTCTGCAGCGAGTTCAGAAGCAGGAGGAGCCCCTGAACTGTGCAGGCGATCCCGAACGCAGCAGGCCGCAGAGGCCGCAGCAGGCTGCTCCCGAAGGCGGAGCGGCGGGCACAGAGGAGCGCCGGGCTCTCCCGTCCCGGCTGCGCGCTCAACAACGGCCCGGCCCGAGGGGAGAGCGCGGGGCCCGGGCAGAACTTTGAATGAGATTTTAGTGAGCGAAAACTTGTGTGCGTTTGAACGTTTCTTGACATGAAAAAA